AATGCATTTGCTGATTCGTTTAAGATTTCTCTCTGTGTGTCTATATTTAGGCAGAGCACAAACACAGATATAGTAATTAAAATTTGATTAACGATCCCACTTTTCTTTTTTGATATTTGCAACTTTATTTTCTAATTTTGCTGTGTGCTAAAATGCCATTAATGTCCAAGGCAAAAAAGGAAAAATCCCCTGCAAATCCCCAAGTAAAATCAATGACTCCTTGCTTTGCTTGCCACTAGGCTAAGCTGCTTCCTGAACGTGGCGGTAACAGAACTGCAGAAATCCCCAGGGTCAAAAGTGAAGCCAAGTGCACACTCCACCTACATGACTAACCCTGCCCTCGAGCTAAGAGTATCACTGTAAGAAACTTCTATATTTGTATTGAAATAAATATCCCATATGTCTTCTGAGACATAGTTTCTCCTTCATCCACACTTTTTTACCCAGTATGGCACAGTTTCATTGGACCAATGTGAATGAAATGTAACAGAAATGGTAGCAGCGTAAAACGATTGAACGTAAGCCCAAAGGGCAGGCACTCCGAAACTCACTTCCTGGGAGTGAAGGAGCTTCACCCAAGTTCGCCCTGCATCCTTCAACACGTGCTCTTGCCCAGTTTCTTATCCCAGCCCCTGCCTGTGGGAACTGCGGATGCATTAGCTGATTTTGGCAGCATGTGTTTTCCCGTCAGCCACACAGATGACTGAGGCAAATGGAATTGCTGCTCCTTCTGTAGGATAACGTCAGTGACTGAGCTGATACTGCCGCGAGCAGAGACCTTCCATGCTTGTGCCTGTTAAAGAAATTCTGTAGCACCAGCAAAACAAAAGTTATGCAATAATCCAGCTGCTGAAAGACTGCTGGAAAAAGGGAAGTAAATACTTCCCTGGTCTGTGTTTTAAGGCAGGGAGAGGATGTGTTCTCCGTGCCGCAGGATGGAAGCTTTTGTTCCTTGTCATGACTCATTGCTTCGTCTAATTAACAGAAAAGTCAACGGGAATCATTTGTGATCTTGGCTGTCATCATTTAGAGTCTTTTCAGGTAGCAGAAACAACTGACACAGTGAGGAAGGTTACGTGTTCTCTGGTGACGAGGAGTACCATGAGAAAAGTGCTGCCACTTGACTCGCAGAGCGGGGAAGGGGCAAATCCTGGCGGATTGGGAAAGAAGCTGCTTCTGTTCCGATCTGGGTCCTTGGTGGAAGTCTGCGATGAGGCAATAGGTAGAGAGCAGCGTGCCCCCTAGCCGACTGTCTTTTGACTTCCTATGTGAGGAAGTGGTGACAAAAGAACAAGCGCTGGAGCCAGTCTGGATTTTTTTTCAAAAATTAAGTGCCTAAATATAGGTGCTTATGTACTCCTAGTCAGATTACTGTGAATTCTGGACTTTCCTAAATCCCTCTGGAGTCACAAAATAGAGATGCTTCTAAATTTATTTGCCTTTTAATGTATATAATTATAAATAGAGTATTATAAATGTATATTTATATGACTATGTAATTTTTTGTGATAATTATTTCAGCTCTGCCTGAAAGCATTTGTTCTTTGCTGTGGTTTTCAGTTAAACAAAAAAAAAACGTTGTGGGCTGAATTCAGTGTTTCATTTGATCCAACTTGATATGCAAAGTCACTTAAAATAGTACGGATCTGTCAATATTACTAAGTACACAATATGTTAAAATTAGTAGACAATAGTGGCAAGTATTAACAGATACTGATTTTTACAAGTATGTTGGATAGATTTGATCGTCAGACATTCGGAGTCATTTTGTAGCAGTGTGGACTGCTATATGAAAGCTGCATTCATTCCTTTAGTTGTATTTTGTCGTGTTTGACAGGAAGCGTATTCTTCCTATCCAGCAGACAGTGGGAATAAGATAAGGGAAATGATGGAAGGAAGCACATGAAAAAAATTTTAAAGGTTTAGCTTGGCAACTTCTAGTTAAATTGAAGTGGTTTGTAGGTCAAACACATCATGTGTTTATCTCTGGCTCTTAAAATATCGCTGAGTGTAGTCTTGCTGTTTGCTTAAACTCGCTTAAAGCCAATGTCGCTCTTCAGCAGTTAGCCTGAGTTCTTCCCAGCAGTGGGTGCGTGGCAGGTCCCTCCAGGCCGAACCCACCGCAAGAAGCCGCCGAGGGGCGGTGTGCTGGGTTTCGAAATGTCCCCGCCGCGCAGCCCTGGCCGAGCGTGAGAGCCGCCGGCCCTGCGGCAACCAGAGTGCAAGGATTGCCTGAACCCGGCAGGACTCGCTAGCAACTGTCTCTCCGTGTTTTCATGGATAGCATCTGCACCCTGAAGTGACCCACGTTAAATACACGACAGGGAGCAGAGAGTAATGGGAGCATATGGCATCTTCCTGCAAACAACTCTATATACTGCGTCTGTTTTTTAAACAGGGTTTGCACAGGGATGGAGAGTTGCTGCCTGCCTGGGATAGAAATACAAAAAAAAATGGGAAAAATATAGGATTGTATTATAAAGGAGATCTAGTTTACACAGAAGCTGTGATATACTAATCTACTAATGCATCGAGGCTAAAGCCCCTGGATGGATGAAATCTTATTCGTCAGATCTTACAGGGTGAGAGTCAGCAAGAAGGAGCAACCAATGTGTCTGCATACAAAGTCAGATCTGAATTCTGAATTACTCTGGTAGGGTTTCCAGAGGGGGTCAGTCTCTATTAAAAACTACAGTCATGAATGTTTCTTAAATATCTTTCTGCAGTCTCATATTCTGTCTAGCCTATAGGTGTCCCCCAGTCATGATATTTTGCCTGGTCCTCCATTGCTGTCATCACACAGCTCACATCTGGTGATTGCAGGTAGAATCTTCACTATAGCACTTCTATGATAAGAAACTAGAACTAAGTTGCACGGAATAAACTAGGTGTATCAAATAGTTAAGATAAAACATCTTTAACACCATCTTTAATTTAGAAAGAATTTAACAGTAAAGTCTATGGAAATTTAAAGATTAAACCAATGTGTAGTCTCCTAAAACAGGCTTGGGGCAACATGAGCATTCATATTTTCCATGATCAGTAAGTAAGCTGCCATACTAGCTAAATCATTTTGCAAAACAGTAAAAAAATGATTTATTATAGCAACAGGTGTCAATACTGCTTAAGGAGACCTTCCGCTGCGCCTTTTGCAACCGGACTTGCCTTTCCCGCATCGGTCTTTTGAGCCATCAGCGCGCTTGCAGCAAACATGCCCATATCTTTGTTCACAAAGCCTAGCCATGATAGCATCAGGTAGAACTAACCTGAGTGCATTGTGTCTTCCTGTCTATGCAGAGAAACTCCGTCACAATGAGTATCACTTCAGAAATAACACACGGAATTTAGTATTGCTAATTTTAGTAGCTTACTTCTGGAAGTCATTATTTTACAGTCATTCGCCTGCCCCGAGGCTGCCAGTGACTTAGGAAGTGCTGATGAGACATAACAAAACAGTTCACGAGAGGTAGCGTAGTTGCCAGCTTTCTGATAGTAGTAAAGAGTTGATGCTTATTTGCTTGCAGCTGGACTGCAAGTGCATCACATTCAAATGCTGTTTAGCTAAAGTCATTTCCAAACACCCTTCGTTTCCTTCAGTCAAGCACATTTTAATTGGTATTTTCCATGTCAGTGAATGGTAAGTCTCACAGACATTTAAATCTCCTCTTAACAGATTGTTTCAAAGATATACTGTCAAAAACATATTTTTCTTTTATGCACACAGAAAATAGATAAAGCCAACTTCAGTCTTGCAGACTACATTATTCCATCTGTCCAGAGTGACTGTTGAAGGATCACTGCAGTTTTCTGAAACATGGTTCTTTCCTAGAAAAGTGGGTGTGAATTCACCCCATACTGCCCAAAGGACAGGGTTGTGGGGGTGCCTAGCTGCTTGCTGCATGGAGCTGCCCATGCATGGAACATCCAGGTTGCTCTCCTCTAAAGCTTTCCCAGATCACACGGTGTTTCTGATGTGGTAAATCATGCAGGTGACAGTGTCATAATGAACTTCTGTGATTTGTTCTTTATTCATATCCTAATAACTCCCACTGTTTGGAGTATTTGGTTTTGGTTTGAGCTTTGGGGGTTTTGGACTGCTGAGTACTGGCCTGAAATTCCTCTGGCGTTACCCCGCTTAACCCTGAGATCTCTCTTCTGTGTGCTAATAGTCAGCCCAGAATGCCTCATTTTTGTACAAACCTAGGATTTTTTTTTCCCTATGTGAATCCCTTCTGCAATCCTCTGCAGTAAGTTTCATCTGTTCTTTTATCACGCACTCAGTGAGTCTTGTAAAGCCCGTCTGCATTTCTTCATAGCTGTCCCTGGTCTTTATTGCCCTTTGCATAGAATCATAGAATCATAGAATCATAGAATCATAGAATGCTTAGGGTTGGAAGGGACCTCTAGAGATCATCTAGTCCAACCCCCCTGCTCCAGCAGGGACACCTAAAGCACGTGGCGCAGGACTGCATCCAAGCGGGTTTTGAAGATCTCCAGAGAAGGAGACTCCACAACCTCTCTGGGCAGCCTGTTCCAGTGCTCTGTCACCCTCACTGTTAAGAAATTTTTCCTTAAGTTCCTAGGGAATTTTTGATGTTTCAGTTTCCGGCCATTTCCTCTAGTCCTATCAGTGGCCACCACTGAAAAGAGACCATGACCGTCCTCTGCACTCCCTCCCTTGAGGTACTTATAGACACTGATTAGATCCCCTCTCAGCCTTCTCTTCTCCAGGCGGAACAGGCCCAGCTCCCCCAGCCTCTCCTCATAGGGCAGATGTTCCAGGCCCCTGAGCATCCTGGTAGCCCTGCGCTGGACTCTCTCCATCAGCTCCACATCCCTCTTGTACTGTGGAGACCAGAACTGGACACAAGGAAAGAGAATTAGCAACAATCAGGTGGTAATGTAGCAAGAGGGGATCCATTCTCTGGCATTTTCATGAGGAAGTTTTTCTTTCTTTTGATCCATGAAGAACTCCAAGGCACATTCTTCCTTGGCCTTTGTTAGAGCGGTGACTCAGCCTTGTTGCTCCTGTAAAGGGGAGAAGTACAAAGTGAACAGTTAAGAAACTTCCTGATGGAACCATGGCCATTACTGGGAACCACAAGGAGGTCAGCACTTAGGAATTTGTGTCCGCTTGTGCAAGACTATTAAAGACCTGTTTTTACTTTATCATCCAGCTGACATACGTCAAAAGCCTCCCCAGTCTGTGTTTACAGCTTTGCTGCAACAGAAGGGACATATGTGTATGTCCAGCTATGGGACACCTGAGATCCGACTCTCACTGTTTATACCAGTGAAGGATAGTTAACGTAGAAATGCCAATGGTAGCTCTAAATTATATGGAAAAAAAACAAGTCTTGGAGAGCTTGTTTTTTATAAGAGCCAAACACCCCCAGATTTTGCTGTCTTCCTAACAGGTGTGTGTGTGCATGATACATACGGTCTTTTGCGTGGCTTAACTCACAGGGACCCTATTACAGCCAGGAAATGATTTTAATCCCACATTGATTTAGTCCCACATTGACCGATCCCTCAGTCATTTAACAATATTGATTAAGAGGGAGATGGTGGGAAGAATTACAAATGCCTACAGAAGGAGGGCATTTTTCATGCCAACAGATTACACTATTGGCCTTTTTCAATAGCTTCTCCTGAATAAAGACTACATAGCTTACTTGTTCCAAATAGCCTTTGTGATCAGCTTCACCCACGGAGCAGTGGGTTCCAGGCACACTTCCCTGCCTCCCTTCAGAGTAGCTCTGCAAAGAAAGAAACAAAACAGTCGAGCTAAATGAATCCTTCCTACTCTCTTAGCATTTTTTTATATGCCTTAGATGTTTGGCAATAAAATAAATGTTGGAGCTGGTCTTAACTTTTGTTTATTTAGGTTATTTTTTATATTCTAACTAGTAGTTCTATGGGTACTGAGTGAGGAAATGGTTTCATGGGCACCTGTGTCCTTTAGTTTGATTACAAGCTACAAATGAGGGGGTACATTGTTTTCTATACTATAGTTCTTTTCTTCGTTGTAAACTGTGTAAAGTAATGTAAGACCTTGTTGTACAGCTTCTTCTGATGAATCTAGGGGAATTTTTATGCAGTGTCTCTCCTCTTTGTGACCATTGTTTAGCAAATCTTTTAGGAACTTTATTATCATGGAGACCTCTTTCACTATCAAACCTGCCTGAAATTCCAGATTGCTGGTAAGATACAAGTGGATAACATGCACAATTTTGCATGGAAGGTTTGGTCACACAAGTATTGTTTGCTTATGAAATCCTAGTGAAAACAAACACAAAAAGCCCTGAAATGCGCCTTTCTCCATTTGTGTGTGTGCACTCATTCAAGCAATTTGAGCATTTCCTGCTGTGATTTTGTATGTATGCAAACTTACAGTGTTTCTACTTGGCACCACACGGATTTTACAGTTTCTCTGTAAGTCCCACACCAACACATTTGCTCTCAAGAAAATGCTTGGTCTGGAATTTTGACATAAGGAATAACCTGCAGCATTTCAAAACTTCATCACATGTAGGCAAAGTTAATGGAAGTTGTTGGAGTCCATGTTAATGGAGACAGCTAACTCTGTCCCCTGACATTGATCATTATGAAGATATTAGCACAGAGAGACCTTTAAAACTGTGCCTGGAGGCAGCTTGTGACATTGTCAGGACACTAGCTAATTCCTTTGAGTAAATGCAAATTTTGTATCTAGAAACTATTGAGGCACCACGGGGAATATATCGTTCCATCCAAACTATGCAAGTGCCAAAGGCATGAAATGCAAAGTCATTTTCTTCTGATAGAAAGAAAGTGGCATTTTGCAGAAGTACTCACATGATTTCCACATGATTGCAGTGAGGTCTACTTCCAATTACATGAACGCTCTGGATGTAGTGAGGATGGATGAAGTTGGAATGAGTTGCTATGCACTTGCATTTGAAGTCTTTCTGCCCTGTCTTTGCTGAGGCGCTGTCTTGGAAAGAAATGCAGTTACAGATGTTTAAAAAAGGCTGATGCATTTAAAATTCAATTTACATCTCTTGCTTAAGTGAAAATGTGTACATGTTTTCATAGTGCACTTGTGCCTGGCCAGATTCTGCACCTAAATTAAATCACTTCAAAACCTAGACTAACATTATCATCTATGTCCACATAGTTTTTATTAGTTTCTGCCACGATCATCTGTTATATTTTATTCTCTCCTGCAAACTGCCTCATACTTGCTTTAAGGAAGCACATTCCTTGGCCTGTCTACCAGGAATAAAATCACAAATAGGAAAAAGTTGTCGCTCAGAAAGGAAGAGATACATGGACACATTTAGAAAAAAAAGATCCTGCCTTCAGTCCAACATTTCTTAAAGTCTAGATCTAGGCATACATTAAATATCACTTTCCCGACAGAGCTGGACTTTCCCCCAGGAAATTGCCCCAGCATCCCAACACATGCTAATAAAAACATTGTCTTTTATTTATGAATGACATTTATTGAAAACACTGATCGCTTGCAATACAATAGACATTAAGATAGCATGAGTCCACCTGAATTTATTGCTGTATATATATATTCATGAGTCATGAGAGCTTTCAGAAATAATTTTCTTACCTTCTGACACAGCCATTGAGACCAGAGAAAGAAGAAGGGTGACTGCAAGAATTTTGTGCTCCATTATCATGCCCAAGTTTTCTTCCTGGCCCTTCTGCCCCAGTCCTGTTTCACATCTCACTTTATATCAGACGTGGATGCTCCTCCCAGCCAAAACACCAAGCAAGAACCCTGCAGTGCATCGGGTTCTTATCTACGAAGAAATTGCCCAATATGTGAGACTATTGCATAAAAAAACTAAATCGCTGTGAAGTCCATTTGATAGCACTTTGTATTCTCTGAAATATTTCTTCCTCTTTTTTGGAATTATTATTCATGACATGCTGTTTGAAGTTCTTGGTGGCATATCACAGTTTTACCAAGTAATGCTAACCTTGCACTCCAAATTCGATACAAGATTAACTAGATCCCCGCACCTAAAATACAGACTTATTTTCTCTTTGAATTCAACAGAAACTTCTGTCAAATTCTTTGCAAGCTTTGAGCAAAAACTCATATGCAATGGGAATTAATGATACATGCCATACCGGGATTCTGGACTGTATTTTGGTATGCCTCTGATCAAGCAGCTTATCCAATGTCTTGTGAAGGCCTAACTCATTAATTCTTGTTGTATGACAGGACTTGGGCTATAACTGTCTGTTTGGCCAAAAATATTTAGATACTTTATTCTGTACTGTTTTGAAAAGCTTTTGCACTCATTGAACAGGAAAAGATGAACATAAAAGGAGTTGGCGACTGTTTCCTAAGTCGCTTAAGCCTTTTGGAAAATTTTAGTTGTTCTGGCTGTGGAGAGAAGAGAATGTGTGTGACAACAAGACCTGCAACACCACCCAATTAACATAAGCACTTGAAATGTGGTCTGTTTTCCTTTCTAACTACCTTCAGCTAGTATAGTCATAGATGTTTAAAACAGAAGATAGACAAATTCAGATAAAAGTGAAATATCTCTTCAGCGTTTCCAGTAAGGAATCCACTCACAGAGTGTGTATTGTTCGTCCATCGGGACACTGAGAAACTCCCGTCTTTTCTGCATCATGTTCTCCTTTGCCAAAAGGTGTTGCTTATTCTCTACATTTCTCAAACCATTAAGAAAGGGCTTTTGTTTTCAAAAGGTGGGGCCTACTCAGCTGAAGCCTTGATGTGGTATGCAGGGGAAGTTAAGTTCTTTTCTGCACAGATAGCTTCTGCTACCTGGGGAGCAGGACAAGCCTGCTTAGGATATTTTAATTCCCTAGGATTGGAGTGGGTTTTGACCAGGGGAAACTCTTTTTTCCTGACTCTGAAGCACCTGATAACTATGTAAGTCAAAGTAAAAAGTTGAAGATGAAGTATTACTGTAGCATAAATACTAATTCAGGCGTGTTAGCTCAATAGCCAGTGCAGTACCCTCAACTCATTGTGAGCTTATATACAGCACATCACAAAAAAAAAAAGATCTTCTAGGCTACTAAACTGTACTCCACAAGCTGCTGTGAGTGTATGAAGCTGTTTGCTTGAAAAAGGGACATTTGCCAAGGGTATCCAACAAGTCAGAAAAGTTGCAGTGCTTAGTTTGTGCTGGATGTCTAAGAGCACTGAAATGTGCTTTTGGAAGCATGAAGATGTTAGTATGTTCCCAAGAAAAGTATCCTGTGAGCACGTATGGAATAGAAATACAGTGTTTAACTATTTCTAAGCAATCTCGAAATCATTGCACTCTGCTAAATGAAAGCCTAAGAAGTAAAGAAGAGATGATTCAGTTGCCATGCAGGCAGATGTCGTGGCTGGGGTCCTGGTTGCTCAGCCATCACAGACATTTTGGACAGGAGCGTTTATGACAAGAGCCCTTGGCCCTGAATTAGCTCCCAGTAGTGTGTGGGATGCTCCTGGTGGGAAAGGTTATGCACTTACTGTATACATCCACACAGCACTAGAATGTGATTGGCAGAGCTCTCCTGCTGCAGGAAAGATTGCTCGAGCAAAGCAGAGACTCCCTCTCCATCTTCTGGTACCACAGGTAAATATAGCTGCCTGTGCAGAGTATGGAGGAGCTTCTTATTGGAAGGAAAACAAGTATCAGAAGATTCTCTCAGCTTTCTCCTTTTCTCAAGTGTTTACTGTTCGAATTCCAACTATTTCTCGGCATCACTGTATCACAGACATGTGGCTGTAGAATCTCAACTCTATTTCCCCCCCAGAGCCCTCCCTCCCTGCCAGGATTAGGGAGGATGCTTAAGGACTGTCAGGTCTGAAGACATTCCATGCTTATGTCACATATGTCCAAATACTTCAAGTTAATGGAAAAGCTCATTTTGTGCCAAATTCTCAGGTAGTTTTCTGCCTCGGCACCACCCCTGTTGTAACCTGGAAATTTCTGTGGCTAACCATTATTTATTCATTACTTTGCGAATTTTATTGGCACTTAAGGTTATTAGCAGTGACAGCTCAAGAACAATCACTCGCTGAAAACTCTGAGTATGTCAGGAAAAGAGGAAGCAAGTCAATCACTTTACATTTTTTTCCTATTGAAAATCATCTGTATTCATGGGAGTCAAGGAGTTGCACTTGTCCTCCTGACATCCATTCAGGCAATACAAAATGAGAAAAAAAATATAATTCTTTATTTAAATACGGAAATTATTAACATACAATAAATAAATAAAGCATTGGAACAAACATTTCTTAGGCACATGAATATCAGTGTTTTCAATAAATAAATAAATAAATAAAGCCAATCACATTCTTATACAAGACTATAAATTAAATAATATCAGGGAAACATTATTAAACATCCCATAGAATCAAAATAAATAAATGAATAAAAGTTACGCTTTTTTAAAGTATCACATTAAAATAGTTATTCCATCCTTCCAGAAATTAGTTCATAATATCTTTAAAATGATGACACAAAAGCTAATGCCTTCTGCATTTTGGTGCTCTGAGAGCCATATAGCCGACCTCTGAATGATGATGGCCCAGGAGCAGTTGATGCTGCCTGGCTGTGCATACTCAGAGAGAAGTCCTTCTCCCTGACCAAGTCACTTGCCTGTTGCTAATCTATTGGCAAAAAAAGGGTGGCATTTAGTAAAATCTGTGCTGAGAGTGCACTGCACTCATGCAGCTGGGTTTAGCAGAAGTTGCTTCAAAAGCCCCTCTCTTTCTCCTTTCCTAAGTCATTTTTCTGTCTGCTTTTTCAGGTTTAAGTGGTTTCTCTCACACTCAATAAGAGTTCTTACAAAGACTTGAAGTTCTGCTTTCAAATAAATACGCACTATCCAGATGCTGTTAAAAGTGTGAGTGTAGGAGGTAGGAGAAGGTTGGTTGCCAGAAGTTTGATTGCGAGGTCTCTCATTTTGTCTTTATGGAGGAGTTGCCTTCTTTGCATTAGGACACTGTCTCAGTGTTGTTATTTGCCCTGCAAAGAAAGAGACAGTTAAAACTTAACCATGGAGCTGCTATCACTCACTGCAAGCAGGGGAAATCAGCAGCTAAGGGCTTATGCTTCTGCATCCAAGCCCCTTAAAGCTGTTACAGATCCCAAGGGAAGCTGATACTCAACTTTCCACAAGTGGCCAGCGACTCAGTGAGCTTCTGTGGATTCTTGCCTCACTGTATTACTGCTGGGCATGGTTTCTCCCTCACTCATCTCCCTCACTCATCTAAATGCTATTTATTTTTTATATATAAACAAATAAATATACACATATATCACATATATATAAAATATATTGAGATAAATAAATAAGTTGAAAGAGTTATTCCTGTTATTAACCACTGAAGGAAAGGTAAAACCAGTCAGTTAGTGCCTGAATTTCCAAAGAGCTGACCACCTGGGCTCAGGTTTGCAGTACGTTTCTGCCTTGCCAGAAATGTAGCTAATATTTACAGGTGCTGTGTGGCCCAATGAGAGACTGAACCTAATGCTATAATTAAAGCTCAAAGTAGTCACACTATGTGTTCCACTTAACAGAGAATGAACAGAAAGGATGGCAACCGCTTGGAGGAGACAGAATTTTTGAACAATGTGTGCTGTGCATGTTTGCTACCTCTTTTATAGTATTATTCCTTTTCTGTAAGAATTTCTCATTGATCACGAAAGACTCACTTGTCCAAAATTGCCTTGATGATCCGCTTCACCCACGGAGCAGTGGGTTCCAAACACAATTCCCTGCCATTTTGCAGAGTGGCTCTGCACCAGAGGGGAAAAAGGAAGATGAAAGATCAGTGTGGGGAATTACAGGGCAATTCTCCCATGCTCTTAACATCACTGTGCTTTAATTAGTTCATGCCAGGATAGCAGGGGTATACTGACACCTGTGACTATGACTTTAACTTGTGTCAGCTGAAGCTGGAGCCTAATATATCGTTCCTTAAGTTGTTTCATATCTTCTTATGTCTGTTTGAATGCATTAAATCACTAGCAGGATTCACTATGGTTTGCAAATTGCTCGAATTTTTGTTTGTATTAATAATGGATTTTAACTGAGAGGTAAATCTTTCCATTTTCACTAAGAAACCATGCTGGCTCTTCCAGAGGCATTTTGGCATTGTAAGACTTCAAGAATTGTGACTGGTTTTATGATATACTTCACTGGCTAGAGTAGAAGTGCATTCATTTTTTGGCCTGGTTCATAAAAGTTCATGTTTTATTCACTTTATCAGCATGGCTCAGTTTGTTTGATTCTTCTCTCTTAGGCTGATGAAATTCAGAATTTTAGAAAATTTAAGGTTTAAGTTGACATATTACATATGGATATTATGAGGAGAGGCTGAGGGAGCTGGGCCTGTTCAGCCTGGAGAAGAGAAGGCTGAGAGGGGATCTAATCAGTGTATATAAATACCTCAAGGGAGGGAGTGCAGAGGACGGGGATGGTCTCTTTTCAGTGGTGGCCACTGATAGGACTAGAGGAAATGGCCGGAAACTGAAACATCAAAAATTCCATAGGAACTTAAGGAAAAATTTCTTCCCAGTGAGGGTGACAGAGCACTGGAACAGGCTGCCCAGAGAGGTTGTGGAGTCTCCTTCTCTGGAGATCTTCAAAACCCGCTTGGATGCAGTCCTGTGCCACGTGCTTTAGGTGTCCCTGCGTATGCAGGGGGGTTGGACTAGATGATCTCTAGAGGTCCCTTCCAACCCTAAGCATTCTATGATTCTATGATTCTATGATATTGAAAACACAAGTGTGGAGATGGGCAAAAATGTCATTTAAGAGTTAAAGAATCATTCCTAGGAGCAATGGCTGTTTCCGTTTCGGATTCTGAGCAGCCAGCCCTACTAGCTTGTAACGTTTTTCAGAAAACAACCACATCATCGCTAATGTAAAAGCTGTTTCCTTCTTGATAAGAAAGAGAATATTGCAGAAGCACTTACATGACTTCGACGTTCTGGCAGTGTGGTCCACTTTGGATGAGTCTCACATTTTGAATTAACTTGGGATGGATGAAATTGGAGTGGGTGCCTATGCATAGGCATCGAAGTTCAATGCCCGAGCGAGCCAGGGCCATACCTGTAAAGTGGGAATAGGAAGTAACTAAAATGAAGGGTAGGTATTTGGCTGTTTCAGTACTGACACAGGAAACACAGCCTGATATTTTTCTTACAATATTAATAGTCATAAATCTCATTTTTAAGAGTATATGATCTTGAAAAAAAAACTACCCTCACTCATTATTTCAAGCTATCTAATAACAGTATCTATCCAAAAAATGGTTGTTAGAGCAGCTGGTGGGTTAGAGAGATTCAAAAATGCAACTTCTGAATGCCAGCAGTTTTAGAACTGTGTTTTTATTATGTCCGATATCTACTGGATCAAATTATTTGTGGACTTAATCCTTTCACTTGAAAATAGGATCAGACTCCAGTTCTTTGAATATTTGAAGCACAAAATTATTTGCTGTGCTTTTAAGAATGTGCAATGTATCACGCTGTCAGCATTCAACCTAGCAATTAGTCAGGAAAGCTTTAGGAAGGTCTTTTGTTACCTTTCGTTCCAGCCGTGGAGATGAGTAGCAGAGCGAGGACAGCAGCAACAGCCTTGCCCGTCATGGTGGTGCAGGCGATTTTCTCCCTCGCGTCTCTTGGCACTGGTCGCACTGGCAGGTGAGCTCCTGTACCCCAAGACAGGGTGATGCTTGTGCCCTGGGACCTACTGTGTATATATAGGAGCGTAGCTTCCTGCACGAGCATTGAAATGGAAACTCCTGAACTTGTGAGATGCTATCATACAGTGAGTCACACTCAAGTGGGTAAACCCCTCTCCACAGATGACCATTGAATTGCTTTTCACCAACAACGAACACTTTATTCATTAAATATAAAAACATAAAATATGCAGAATGTTGCCCTGTGGTTAGCTTCATTGAATGTATAGATTTCTGTAATACTCGTTTTCTTGGGTATTGTGATTATTTTATTCTGTACCTTCATAGTTTTTTTCTATTATTATCATGTTATGCTTTATGCTTTAACAGTTCTGATGCGAGGCAGATGATCTGTGACACTAAAGCTGGTTTTCTTTGTTTTGTTTTTCTCGTTTTTTTTTCAAGAACTAGTTGAACTATGAATTAACACTGTTTTGTGGAAATGATGAATACTAGAACTGGTAGATATCTAGGAATGTGTAAGAAAAGGTCAAGTGTATATGATAGTTATGTCTAGTATTTTCCCATGCTGAGCGTAGTTTTGTTTGATACCTCCTGATTCTTTTGTCAGATGAGAGTGAGCAATCCTCACTCTCATCCTTACCCGAGTCCTTACCCCTCGTCTCCATCCCCTGCGAGAGTGAGCAATCAGTCCTTACCCCTCGTCTCCATCCCCTGCATAATTTTATAGACCTCTATCACGTCTCCCCTGGGCTGCCTGTTTTTACAACATGTGCTGCTGCCTGGTAAGAACATGGTTTGCATTGTTCATTCTTCTCCTTCGACTGTTTTTTCCAGCAACCTGCTACTTGAACAGCCCCATCCTACAGCAATGAAAGGGAGTGTATCACTGGGAATGCATATGTACAGAAAGAAAATGGCAGTATGAATTTCCATTGCCCCTGGCATGTAGAACTCACTTTTTCAAATAAACCAAAGGAACTGTCTTTTGCCTTTAATTTCACAGGTATAAAGGTTACTTCCATACTACATATGCAAGTCAGGCAATACTGTGTTCGCCATGTGAAACCTGCTGCCTGTTTTGTTTTAAGGAAATGGTGTTTCTGCCTTCTTGAGCCAGACAGATAAACTGGTAGCTATTGTACATTGTTACTTCTCAAATGCAGAGAGAGAGGACGTAGATATTTCACTTCTCTCATGTAGATACAATGATTACGGTAAAATAAACCTCGATACGGAAGTATTGGGAGCAGTGGGAACTACTGAGCAGCAAGAGTATTGGAGCCAGTGCTCTGATGTGTAATTTAAAAGCCAAAGGAAAGCAAGAGGTAGTTGAATACTTCTGTGGAGCACTCAGCTTTCCGAAAACCCACAAGCAGGAAATGCAAAATTTCTTTCATGGTTGCAGCGAGAAGTCAGAAAAGAGGAACCACAGAGAAGCGCATTGTGGTCAAACACTTGTAAGTTGCGGAGAGGGAAGGAATCACTCTTTGGATTCATTTACAAGGCCTCAGTCCCAGAAAAGTGAGACAGGCAATACCAAGAATTAAAAGTTGGCGATTTTTTAACGCAGACAGTCTCTTACTGAAAGGAACGATTCATAAGCCTTAAGTATGAGTATCATAAACTGTATCACTGGCAGCCTCCACTTCCTTTGTCCTAAGTGTCCTAAGTATGGCTTTTGTAAAGCTTGAACTCCTGTGACACAAGATAAAGCTCAGTAGAGCTTTATTGTTGATAAGATTTTTGAGAACTGATGGACTTATCAGTGATGTATAACACATAGGAATCTATACCAGGTAGTAATCTAATATCCTGGATCCATCTTTTGGAATTGATGTGCAGTATGGAAGTCCCTGTTGCTTGGTAAACTGGCACATGATAGACTCCTTGGAGTCCAACAGTATTTGCTATTGCAAGCGTAAAACTCCTTTTCTCAAGTGTTTCTCAATAATATGAGATTCTATGAGCCTAACTCATCCTGATGAGCCCTTCCCGGGAAATTCTATTCTCCTGTGCCCCTCCTCCTGAAGCTGTTTTTGCTTGATATCCAAAACCATTAGCAGGAGTGGGAATTGCCTTCATTTGCCTTTAAAAATGCCCGAGATAAAGTTTATTTCCTAGAGCTGTCCTCTATTTGGGCTAGTGTTACGAAGGTCAGTGTGGAAGTGACTTAAAAATTTGGTCATGAAGTTGTACAGAGTGTTCTGAGAAGAAGGAAAAGAGGTAGAGCGCTGCCGTCCCACAGCACTACTTCCGCACACCGCAGGAGGCAACGGTCTCTGCTCCTGTAATTTCTGTGTGGCCCCATGCTTCTTGCTGCAGAGAAACCAACTTTCAACACCTAGGGTGGTGAATAGTTTCTTCCACCCACACTGGTGATGAAATGTCCTCTTTGCAGGCAGGAGAAGTGTCTCTGAGTTCTCCCAGGAGAGAACCTGGCATGTGAATCTTCTTCTCACATAAGCAAATGTTCCCACAATAGGTGGGGTATACACTCTGAATATAATATAATAGTCTGAAACCAACCCTGTCACTTCTTGCTGTGCATAAACTCTCTGTCTCTGCATTTTTAATTAGCTTAACTTCCCCTCGTTCATGTTGCTGGTTGTTCTGGATCTCAGTCTACTGCATTTGTACTCCCCCAACTTTCCTGTTTATGATTCTTTCCCCACTGTTTTAGCTGGTCACCCGAACGTATTGGTGATGAGCTCGAGCATCGCTCCAGCAGTGACTGAGCCTCACTCAGAATGTTTATTGCTGACTCAGAACTTCATTCACACTTTTCAGCAGTTCAAAGGAGTCCAAAATTACACTTCTTACTGTGCCCTATGGCCTATTCATGATACAATCACATCTCATTTGCAGATCAGTTTTGATGGAAAATATCTGACTTTGTATATTCCTGGCATTTCCCTGGCTGTGAGGTAACTGCCTAGGAAATGAGGTCATCTCCATAAAGGGAAGTACTATTGAGAAAAAAAACGTGGTCACAATGCTGCCTGAAGTGTGAACAGGATATTGATGCTGATCAACGTGCAGCTATATATTTTCAGTAAAAAAGTGACCACTGTGGTTTAACTGCATTAGTTGCGATATTAAGAAGAATGGTTACAGTAGGATTACTCAGGGACTTTCCAGTATTTCAGGCAGTATCAACATATGTTGTCCTGCAAGATGTTCGTAATGCTTTTTATCAATCATCTTAAATAAGAGAAAACCAGTTACGATATATGGATCAAAATGATTCTCAAACAAATATTTTATTTAGCCTTCTCTTCTCTGGGCTAAACAATCCATCTCTCTCAGCCTTTCCTTATAAATCAGATGCTCTACTCCCTTAATCATCTTAGTAGCCCTTCACTGGACTTGCTCCAGTAGGTTCATATCTATCTTGTACTGTGAACTCAGGACTGAGCAGAAACAGTCATTGAATTAACAAAAGAGACCAGCGAACATTTAGGAGCATATCTTGGCCTCGTCCTCACACTTACTTCCTTCTTTCCTCTTCTTTGAAAGTCTATGCCTCCTTAGTTGTGCCCAAATCAGAAATCCATTTGCTTGGTATCCCTCACCTACTTGAGGGAGGAGGCTGAAATAATGATAGTTTTTCTCAAGCTACTGCTTTACCAAACCTGGTGCAAGCTTCTAAACTTGGATGTAGTAAGAAGGTACAAAGCATAAGAGCTAGTAGGAGACAGAGAGGGTGTGTTGACTCTAATTGCTGTGCATGAATCATCCAGGCATTTTTTATTTCCAAAGTTTCAGGTGTATGTAGGAAAAATCAGTTTGAACAGGAAGTAGAGGACTTGTGTTGTATCCCTTCTGTCTGCACCTACGGGCGAAACTTGGTGAGAATGGGAGTGGAAGCCTTCATTGCTTTTCATCCATGAGGGCCCTTTCTTTCCAACATGCTACATTCTGGCTCCTCGTGAACCTGCATTGAATCTGCATTGAGCAGGCTGTGTGTAGGTATGTCGACATTGTATGAAAGCTAGACAGAGTTTTTAGCTCCTTAAACAAAGATCTCTGACCTTGGAGCTGAGGGAAAACACTCCAAGTGTTTTACTTATTCCAAGTAAGTTCCAAACAAAGGCTGACCAAGCACAGAAGTTTTCTGGCTTTTCAAAATGTCTGCTAGCAACATAAGAAGGAGGTAGAGAAGGCAGGAGCTTACATTCATCTCCATTAGCATTATGGCTGCTCTCAAAACAAAAATTCAGAACATGGGAAGCACAAAATGCACCTAAATCGTGTAAGCAGGTTTGGGAACGCGTAAGTGCGAATATATTGGAAGTTCTTGGAGCTTTAGACCTGCCTGCAGAAACCTCTCTGGCAGGCGGGACACAGGCTTTGTGTGTGCTCAGAGCATACCAACAGTGTGTGTGACTTGTGTGAGCCTGTATCCAGAATGATTGCTACAGACCACTGGTTTGGAAAACAGAGGAAGGAAACACAGCAGGACATATAGAGTCACATGCTATTCAAGAGGACTTTCCCGAGTTGAGTAGGACACTCAGGCATTTAGACCCACTTTGCCAGATACGGAGGAGCTGTGTACATCACAGTCTCCTGTAAGACAGCAGCTATGAGACAGCTGCTCATCTGCAGAGCCAATCTCTATCGCCCATTACTACCCGGACTAAGTAATTGTCTCAATTTCACCTGAAATGCACAAAATGAAACATCCCCAGCAGAAGGGACAATCTCTCCAGAAGAGCCTGTTCATGAGACCTCGCACTCACCTGGTAGCAAATATTTCTGCTCCAGTCTGGAGCTTCACAGCTTTGATGTTAGTTTTCATAATCACTAGATTTATCTTCCTTTTTTTTTCTCCTTTATTTTTGGGAACCTCCTAGCCAATCCCTGAAACCTTTTGGTCTCCTATGGTAGGTGTTAACCATACTGCAACCTCCATTAAGATTATGGAAGAACAAACAGTGG